ACGAAATCTGTATCAAGTGTAATGGTTAAATGACATGAACCACATATATATATAATGTTATGTAGCGTTTGTCACTTAATGGTATCGTTTATTAACGGGTATATTAATTACCTCGAACTACGCTAGCTATGTATGAACATTAATGTGGGTTAAAATAACAGGTTTAACGTTACCTCCCCACAGCTCTCTCCCAGCCGGAGATAAACGAGCCGCCGGTGTCGCTGTCGCCGGAGCCGCCTCTCCTCTTCCTCCAACAAAAAATATATTAAAAAAAAAACAAAATCAAAACCTCTGGCTCCATCGTCTGTTATGTTTTTGTGTCGTCTGTCCGTTATGTTTCCATGTCGTTTGTTAAGTTCTCTGTCCGTTATGTTTCTGTGTCGTCTCTTAAGTTGTCTGTTATGTTTTTCGTCTTTCCCGGGCTTGGGCGGCAGGAGTCATGACGTCGTGACGCAACCCCGAAATGCTCCGTAGGCTAGACTGTCCCATTTATCAACGTGACCCGTCCTTCGGAGGTGCCTCCGAAGGATCATCCTTCGGAGGCTGCGTAGGCCGGGTCCTCCGAAGGATGCAGACCCTGAATTGGGACACAGCTTCAGTGAGGCTGTGTCTTGCTGCTACGTCGTCTTAAATCGGTCACGTGATTTTGACGCGCCGGCGCAGTTCTGGACCGCAGACGAAAAAACGAGAAAATGGAGCCGTTTTTCCATTTTTGTTGTCAGAATCAAAAAACGAAAAATGACAAAACCAAATTCAAATAACAGCCCGATTTTGTTTTTTTGCAGATTCATTTTTTCATTTATTGTTTTGGACAAAAAGTAGAACGACGGTGACATCAGAGGCGGAAGTAACTTCAAAATAAAAGACAGGAAAATAAGCTTGCCTAAAACTTATAAATATCCTATAAAACTTTCCCATGTATCTTTTATTTCCACTTACACCTGATGTTTTGCGCATTTTGAAAAGCTGCCTGCCATTGCTGTGAGGAACTTTTTATTCATAAAAATAGAAATAAAATGTTATGATCACAAATTTCATGGCTACAGTAAAACTTGTTGTTCAACCATAAAGTTGCTGTTCAGAGGGAAATAGTCATGCATATTGTTCCCATGAAGGACATATAGGGATTCCCTCAAAGGTTGTATATTAATATTCATTCGCCGAATTGTTTGCAATAAAGTAATCGAGGATATAATAAATTGTTGTGTGTGCTACGTTGTTACTGTTAACACTGGTTTTCTCCTTAACGCATCGTTGCGTCAGTGAAGTGTCAAGCTGATGTTTGTCCTTTTTACCAGCAGATGGCAGTAGGCCTATGGATTTATTTGCTGTCATTGAAAGCCTGGTTTTCTCTTAGTTTCTGTTGGATTATACAGACCTGCAATTCTTCAGGTTATTGGAACGGACAGTTCAAATTATATGCAGCATATATTTACTTGTATTCTTTTATATTGTTGTATCACATAGGCCTATGCATTGTTGGCAGAGATGGGCAGCATTTTAATTACATGTATTTAAAATGTTTTATCACCTACTATGACAATAGAAGTGTCATACAAAAATACATCCTGTGCCGAATAAGATAATTAATGATTAATCCATTATTTTTTAAAAATATATAAGTTAGTGGCAGCCCTAACTGTATGCAACACATCTGATTCATATTATTTTAACCTGTTAGTGTTTCTTGCAATGTCCCTCACAAATAAACTAATAAATACATGAATACTAACACCTTAGCTACTACTGAACATTTGAATGTGATGAGGAACCTTTAATATTCATATGAAGGCAAGTGAAGGAGCTGCTATGTTACGTTCTAATAACCTTTCCTATTTTAATTTAAACTTTTTTATGTCAACCTCCCAGTGAGGTGCAGTTTCCTCATTGCTGCCTTTTGCATTGAGGCCCTCCAGACTGGACTGCTATGGACGGAGTGTAGGGTGGTCCTCCTTACTGCTGGGCCTGACCTGTACTGGGATAACATAGTCTTGCAACAGTGAGCCTCGACAAATATCCACTTCATGAAAACTGGGATTAAAAAGTACAACTATGTTATCATTTATGACCTGGATGTGATTGCAAGTCCATAAAACCAAGCAACTGTATTGATGTCTGAGTTGTATTTGTTTAAATAATCATATAGAATGATGCTAGCAGCATTGTCACCCTTACGCTCCTCAGTTTGTTTATACATTGAATATAACTAATCTAATGATCCAAACTGAATAATATTGAAGTGGCACAGTAATGACAGATTCAAAATATAGTGTGTACCAGTTAAAGTTAGTAGTATTAAGGCCAGGCTTGTGTTGACCACAACATGCGTAAAGTGGGGACCACAAGCAGTTTGATAAGAAATCTTTACTTTTCAATGAACACAAGAAAAAAAAACTCCTGTTTTGTCCTGGCTGGAGTTAAAAATGAAACGGTCAGGAGACTCTCGCTGTGCTCAGCGTTGCCGGGGAAGTGTCCGCAGGGAGGTTTGAACAGGTGATACTCAGGAGCAGCACAAACTGCGAGGAGGCCCCATCTTCATCCTGCCTGAGCCATGATGACTAGGGATGTGAATCTTTGGGTACCTCATGATTCCATTTTGATTCTTGGGGTCACGATTTGATTCAAAATCGATTCTTGTTTCAAAACGATCCCCGGTTCAAAAATTGATTCTTGATTCAGTACATAGGGGTGTTTAATTTCTACTCCAGTCTGCTTTGCACAAAGAGAGACAGTGTGGAAAATTATGGCATGAAAGCAGAGTAAAGTATGTACAAAATTATGTCATTTTTGTATTTGAAAAAGTCAAATCAACTGATTGCAATAATCAAACATACAAAGGCAAACTTAAGACAAAAGATAACATTTATTCATGCTTAACTTGCACAAATGAAAACTGAATTCTCAGTGACTTCAAGAATAATAGATTCAAGTTATCAAAAAATAAATTAAAAGTGCTGCTTAGGGTTGGGCATCGAGAATCAAATTGAACCCGTTCTAACATTTCATCAGAATCATTAAGAAGTTTTAATTTCGATTCCCCTAAACAGTCTGTAAACAATTTTAATCCGTGCTTCGTCTTTGGTTTGCAGTCCGTCGACTGCCAGTAAAACAAGGAAGAAGCAGCCACTGAAAAACAACAAAGAAGCCGCTGAAAAACAACAAAGAAGCTGCCAAAAAACAACTCACCTCATTTAGACAATGCAAACATTTTGAACCCACCTCTTAAAAGAATCAGAACAGGAATCATTAAAATTCAAACGATGCCTGATCCTAGTGCTTTTTTTTTTTTTAAATTGATCCTTTGCATTAATGAATCCTTTCGGAATCGTAGAAGAAAACAATCGCGATTTTCATGTGAATCGATTTTTTTTTTTTTTTTTTTAAAGCACTAGGATCAGGCATTGTTTGAATTTTTTTTAATGATTCCTGTTCTGATTCTTTTAAGAGGTGGGTTCAAAAAAGTTTGCATTGTCTAAATCAGGTGAGTTGTTTTTCGGCGGCTTCTTCGTTGTTTTTCGGTGGCTGCTTCTTCCTTGTTTTACTGGCGGTCGACGGATTGCAAACCAAAGACGAAGCGGTCCATAGCGGTCCAGTCTGGAGGGCCTCAATGCAAAGGGCAGCGATGAGGAAACTGCACCTCACTGGGAGGTTGACATAAAAAAGTTTAAATTAAAATAGGAAAGGTTATTAGAACGTAACATAGCAGCTCCTTCACTTGCCTTCATATGAACATTAAAGGTTCCTCATCACATTCAAATGTTCAATAGTAGCTAAGGTGTTTGTATTCATGTATTTATTAGTTTATTTGTGAGGGACATTGCAAGAAACACTAACAGGTTAAAATAATATGAATCAGATGTGTTGCATACAGTTAGGGCTGCCACTAACTTATATATTTTTAAAAAATAATGGATTAATCATTGATTATCTTATTCGGCACAGGATGTATTTTTGTATGACACTTCTATTGTCATAGTAGGTGATAAAACATTTTAAATACATGTAATTAAAATGCTGCCCATCTCTGCCAACAATGCATAGGCCTATGTGATACAACAATATAAAAGAATACAAGTAAATATATGCTGCATATAATTTGAATTGTCCGCATCAATAACCTGAAGAACTGCAGGTCTGTATAATCCAACAGAAACTAAGAGAAAACCAGGCTTTCATTGACAGCAAATAAATCCATAGGCCTACTGCCATCTGCTGGTAAAAAGGACAAACATCAGCTTGACACTTCACTGACGCAACAATGCGTTATGGAGAAAACAAAGCAACAAACACAATAATTTATTATATCCTCGATTACATTATTGCAAACAATTCGGCGAATGAATATTAAAAAACAACCTTTGAGGGAATCCCTATACGTCCTTCATGGGAACAATATGCATGACGATTTCCTTTATTAGTCTCTGAACAGCAACTTTATGGTTGAACAACAAGTTTTACTGTAGCCATGAAATTTGTGATCATAACATTTTATTTCTATTTTTATGAATAAAAAGTTCCTCACAGCAATGGCAGGCAGCTTTTCAAAATGCGCAAAACATCAGGTGTAAGTGGAAATAAAAGATACATGGGAAAGTTTTATAGGATATTTTTAAGTTTTATAGGCAATCTTATCTTCTTCCGCCTCTGATGTCACCGCCGTTCTACTTTTTGTCCAAAACAATAAATGAAAAAATGAATCTGCAAAAAAACAAAATCGGGCTGTTATTTGAATTTGGTTTTGTCATTTTTCGTTTTTAATTCTGACAACAAAAACGGAAAAACGGCTCCATTTTCTCGTTTTTTCGTTTTAAACCAAAAAGGAAAAAACGGGAAAACCATGGCATTTCTGTTTTTCGTTTTTGGTTTAAAACGAAAAAACGAACTGCCTGAAGGTACCCTGACCATAACCGCCACGGTTATGTCAAAGCAAGCAAATAATACGGCTATGTGGAAATTAATACATACGCTAATATCTCAGTGGTGTGATCTTCAGGGGCGTATTTAGTGATTTCAGGGCTCCAGTCAAGAGATGTCTTGCTTTACGTTCACCCTTCCTGGTATTGGCAGCGATAGAAGAGGTACTCAAAACTTTTTTCTGCCGGTACTATTACCAAAACCTTTATTGCTTCATATTGTTCACCTCTCCTTGCTTCATGCATCAAGCAAAGTCAAAAACCAAACAAACAAATAAAAACATTTCAATATTTTACTGTACCTGTATGGAGTGGAAAAAAATTAAAAACACTTCACAACGTGTACAGTAAAATATATGTTTTAATGTTTCGGGTTGTTACGTTTCTCTTTACAAGAAGCAAACAGAAACAATAACGCTGACAACCAATAAAGACAGAACTCAAGGCGGATGTGTGGCAGTCAAAAAAAAGAAAAAGATTTATTTATCTTCTTTGATTAAATAAGTGAACAACAAATGAAAGCTTTGAAATGTGGGGGAAAGAGGAACCTTGGGGGTTTTGCCAAACAAATGAAACAAAGAACAAAAAAATAGGGCCTAGCTCAGCTCTTTCTGTGTGGCTGGCATGTATGAAACCTTAATGAAAACTTAAAACCATGCATGTCATTTTTTGCTTTTTCTCTTTTCCTCTTTACCTATTTTTCCTTGTAAAAAACATTGATCAACATCCGCAATAAACTCAATAAACTATAAAATAAACTCAATAAACATTAAAGTCTTTTGAACAAATGAGTAATTTTTCTCGGCATTATGATTTTTCATTCTTTAGATTTGACCAAAAATTATTATTTTGATGTTTTTCTCTCAGTTGACTATCTTCAAAAACAATCAAAGATATTTAAATCACGCTGACAGTGTTTGAGCCAACCACAAGAATGTGTGGAATTTCGTTGGTTTCATGTATTGTTTGTCCTGTCCCGGTGCAAACAGCGTTTTTTGATGTCCGTGGCCCAGTTGTGGAAAATCAAATGTCCCAGTACAATAAATCAAACGCACCCCAACCGCTGTGTTTTGGAAGTAGACACGCATGCACAGTCACGTACTGCTGAGAGTGAAATCCCGGATTGTTAGCTCACACGCAGCTTACTTTCATCCCTGCACTATTCATAGTCAAACTATTAATACCACAAAGTAAAAGCCTTGCATTCAGATTTTTACTTAAAGCAAAGAGTACAGAAAAAACACAGAGGCATTATCAGCACAGTGTACTTCAATATACTTAATGTCTGTTCATGATGAACTCCTTAATTCTTATATAATGCTGGATAGTTTAATGAATAATAATGCATTATATTTCAATTATTACAAGGCCATGGCTGTCTGCTGGATAATAGTGAATTGCCCCCTCTGGGTTGGGAGATTTACTGCCCAAAGTGAAGGAGTTCAAGTATTTCGGGGTCTTGCTCACAAGTGACGGTAAAATGGAGTGTGAGATGGATAGGCGGCTTAGCGTGGTGTCAGCAGTGATGAAGGTGTTTCACTGGACCATTGTGGTGAAGAGGAAACTGATGGAGGGAGTCTTTACTTACAAGCCAACAAGTTGTTGTTGTTGTTGTTGTGTTTCTTGTCATCAGCTGTTAGCTGGTTGGAAGAGTCCACTCTATTCTCCAGCTTCTCCTTTCTGGTGGTTTGTTGCGTCAAGTCTGGTTCCTCCTCCTTTGGTTCTGGGCTTGGCGTGTCAGGCTCTGGAGTCTGGAAGCTACAATCACCAGAAACAGAATGGCTCATACTCTGACTCTGATGAAAAACCCAATACTATTGATGGGACAAGAAAGAAAAATTCTATCATTTATCTCCAGAGTATTTTGTATTCTTGAGAGGCCTTTGCCCTGGTTCTAAACTCTTAGTGCTCAATCTGCAGTTTCACCAATAAACAGTTTCTCGCTCCATCTCAGACTGACACATGATTATATTCAAAAAGTCACAACTCTGTCAGAAATTTATGAATGACTTTTTTCACAAAATTGGTCACAGAAATTGATTTAACTTCTTCTACTGTGTGATTTTGACAGGGATGGGTATTGAAACCTGCCTGCTGCATGTGTGAAGGGTGGGGCCGGCTGTGTCGATCTGTTTCACACACACACAGAGGCCCTGCTCTCAGTGACAATGGCAGAGCGGGTAAAAACCTATGGAGTAAACTTCAACAACTCCTTCGCAGAAACATGAACAGTCATGAGCAAGGGTCTAGTAAAAGTGCATCACATGCAGGCAATGCAATGTTTTTGACCCCCGAGCTCATAGTTCATCTCCCGTTACCCCATCCACTTCAGGTGTGTTATAGTCTATAATAGTAATTCATTCAGGTTTCTGAAGCCCTTTTTAGATAGGAATTGTGCAAATTTGCAGGAAAGCCCAATCAGTCTTTTTTCAGCATTGGCAGTATAAAAACAAAATGGAGGAGCGCGGCAAAATGCCGCCTACCTACTTTTGTTTATACAGAATGCGTCTTTTTCAGGGCAATGGGGGGTGTGAGCAAGTAACAAAACGTGTAGCTCAGTGTGTGACGTAACCAGTGACGTGGGAGGGAAGCCACGGCTAGTCAGTCCTTCTGCGATTCTCTTGTAAGTTGCTCCGTTCCCCACCGTTCCCATCATCTGACGGTTAATGGCCTCTTTGTTTGCGAGGGCAAGGAAGGCGCACAATTCCTTGTCTCCCCAGTTGTTCATCTTTACAGTGTCTGTCAGGTTTGTGTTTCCCTCTTGCTACTAGCTGCTCGCTAATTCCTGCTATCAGCTGTTTCCTGTTTATCCACCGCCAGTGGCTCGCACGTGCCGCGTCATCAACAGCTCCTCCCACTGCAGAAGGCCGCCTCGGTCTGTTTAAACTAAAAGGGTTCCGCCAATATGACTACCCTACGAGGCGGCACCTCGGGAGAAAATTGAATTCAAAACAATGTTGTGGCAGAATGTTAATTTATATACTATACTGTACTTGTATACACAGAAAATAAAGCAATATTAATTCTTCTTCTTACAACCCCCCCCCCCCCCCCCCCCCCCCCAAAAAAAACAAAAAACTGATGACAGTACCACCAAAGTACTAGATCAGTAAGGAGTATCATAAAGAGTAGTAATTGTTGCCACATTAAATTTAGAGTAGCAGACTGTGAAAACGTTATTTTACGTAATTTTACAGTATGGNGGCAGAATGTTAATTTATATACTATACTGTACTTGTATCACAATTAAAGAAAGAAAAACAATTACAAAGAAAGAAAGCCCCCCCCCCCCCCCCCCCCCACCAAAAAAAAACAAAAAACTGATGACAGTACCATTAAAGTACTAGATCAGTAAGGAGTATCATAAAGAGTAGTAATTGTTGCCACATTAAATTTAGAGTAGCAGACTGTGAAAACGTTATTTTACGTAATTTTACAGTATGGATACTGTAAAATTACAGTATATTGCAGGCGCCTGTGCTACCAGCTCTTTACTGTTCTTTTACAGTGAAATTATTTAAAGTGTAGATTTTGAGAATCAGCACTCCATTAGGGACATATTGAGGTTAAGTGCTACACTAATTAATATTTGTTTTATTACTAAAGAAAAACTATGCGTGATGTCAATTAAAGTTGGGGTAGTAGAAATTTTGGGACACACACATACACACCTGTTTTCAGTGGTGGTGTTCGTCGGCGAGCTGGTCAGATCTTGCTCTCTGCTTTCGTCATCCTCAAAAGGGTGAAGGTTTACAATCTCCACATGCTTTGGATCTGTGCCAAGGTCAAGAATCACCACCCTCTGACTTTCACACAGCTGAAACACACACACAAAAGCTCATACATAAACATGTTTTAATTAGAAGATGGAGAGTTTAGCATGCTGCGATGTGCTGGGAATTACATACAAAAAGTAGTACTGACACAAGGAATTAGTTCAGTTCTCTTTTTTTAAAGCAAACTGTTATTCAACTGTTTTTTTTATAACAGTAATGGTAAGGACTGTGCTTTCAGGTGTGCTGTCAGTGTTGTTACATGTAGTGCAAGACTACTGATGTGTATCTTTCCTGACAGCAAGACTTTGATTTTGTGCTGCCATGTCATATTTTTTTAACTCAAAAACAAAAAGAAATAGTGATCACTACAGAGAAACGGATATAGAAATTGGCAAACAATGAAATATTTAACTACACTTGATGTCTGCCAACAGAGGCCAGTTAGTGATTAAGTAAATAAATGAATCAAGTGAGAACCAAAAATAAGAAAATAAATACATGTGGAAATAAGTCACTTAAGAAAAGAAATAAGCAGATGGATGATGAAGAAAAGAATGAATACAACAATCAATAACTAAGTGAATAAGTCATTAGGTCATAATAATTACTTCTTTCTGTCTCTGCTGTGGAATGAGGGTGGTGTGTACAGTCTAGCTCCTTGGACTAACGGAGTGGCACCCCACTGGAAAGCAGCCCAGACCAAGCTATCAATTCTGTCTGAATCCAGGAGATAAACCCCTGAAAGTCAACCGAGCTTCTTTCACATTCCCACAAATCTTCTGTTATTGTATCAGATTACACTCTGAGATGTTAGAACCACAATAACCGATTATCTGCTATGTGGCAGACCAGGCTGGGATTACACATGATGAATTTGGCAGAGAGACCTGTGTATAGTGAAGCTGTGTGTTAGAATTCCTTTGACTCTCCTCCACCTGTTGCCTCCAGTAGACTGCACTGTACCAGTTTACTGTTTACTGACATCATGGAGACAGATGCCATGTACATCTATCCAATCTGTAGAGGTATTTATGTCCAGTGACTAATATGTCTCACATTTGTTTGGGCTGTTTATGAGGTCGTCATCCTGTTGGACACTGTCATGAACTATTATTTTCTTACTGATTTTGGTGTTTGGTTCTTCTAGAAACAATCAAGACTACCGTAAAACTTCTATTGGTAGCCCTGGCCATTATTTGTTTAAATCACTGAACTCAACAGGTCTATATTTGGGACAGGCATTAATATGGGACTGGCCTTTAATTCTTTTTACACAAAACTGCAAAGATAGAAAATACAATAAAATTGTTTATTTGAACCAGTATGAATATCACTTGTATAAAAAACTGGCTTTGAATAAGATATGAATTATGAATCATTTGATCCAGTTCCGAGTTACGGCACTCGTTTTAAGGTACCTGGCATACCGACACAACACCACTTTATCCTGTTAAAACAATACTCACAACTCCTCCTGCCCTCGGATGGTAGGCCTACCTATCTAACCTCAAACACAGCTGTAGAATCTAATATATATTTAGATTGCTTCTCCCCAATTTCTCTTCAAGAATTGACCGCAGTGATTTCTTCATCTAAATCATCAACGTGTCTCTTAGACCCCATCCCAACTAGGCTACTTAAGGAGGTCTTTCCTTTAGTTAACACTCATATATTAGATATGATCAATATATCCCTATTAACAGGCTATGTACCACAGTCTTTTAAGGTAGCTGTAATTAAACCTCTCCTAAAAAAGCCCACCCTGGATCCAGAGGTGTTAGCCAACTATAGACCAATATCTAATCTTCCCTTTATGTCAAAGATCCTTGAGAAAGTAGTCGCAGACCAGCTGTGTGATTTTCTCCAGGATAATAATTTATTTGAGGAATTTCAGTCAGGATTTAGAGTGCATCATAGCACTGAGACAGCTCTAGTTAAAATTACAAATGACCTTCTGATTGCTTCAGACAAAGGACTCGTCTCTGTTCTTGTTTTATTAGATCTTAGTGCGGCGTTTGACACAATTGACCATCAAATTCTACTGCAGAGACTGGATCACTTAATTGGCCTAAAAGGTTCAGCACTAAGCTGGTTTAAATCTTATTTATCTGATCGTTTTCAATTTGTTGACGTTCGTAATGAATCATCCTTACGTACCAAAGTTTGTTTTGGAGTTCCGCAAGGTTCTGTGCTCGGACCAATCCTATTTACTCTATATATGCTTCCTTTAGGTAACATCATTAGAAATCACTCTATAAATTTCCATTGTTATGCGGATGATACACAGTTGTATTTATCGATGAAGCCAGAAGAAAGTAATCAATTAACTAAACTCCATAACTGCCTTAAAGACATAAAAAATTGGATGAGCACCAATTTCCTGATGTTAAATTCAGACAAAACTGAAGTTATTGTTCTTGGCCCCAAACAACTCAGAGACTCTTTATCTGATGACATAGTTTCTCTAGATGGCATTGCTCTGGCCTCTAGCACTACCGTAAGAAACCTCGGAGTAATATTTGATCAAGATTTGTCTTTTAATTCTCATTTAAAGCAAACCTCACGGACTGCATTTTTTCATCTGCGTAATATTGCGAAAATTAGGCCTATCCTGACCCGAAAAGATGCAGAAAAATTGGTCCACGCTTTTGTTACCTCAAGGCTGGATTACTGTAACTCTCTATTATCAGGTAGCTCTAGTAAGTCCTTAAAAACTCTCCAGCTAATTCAGAATGCAGCAGCACGTGTACTAACAGGAACTAAGAAACGAGATCATATTTCTCCTGTTTTAGCTTCTCTGCACTGGCTCCCTGTAAAATCCAGAATTGAATTTAAAATCCTACTGTTAACTTATAAAGCTCTAAATGGTCAAGCTCCGTCATATCTTAGAGAGCTCATAGTGCCATATTATCCCACCAGAACACTGCGCTCTGAGAACGCAGGGTTACTCGTGGTCCCTAAAGTCTCCAAAAGTAGATCAGGAGCCAGAGCCTTCAGCTATCAGGCTCCTCTCCTGTGGAATCATCTTCCTGTTACGGTCCGGGAGGCAGACACCGTCTCCACATTTAAGACTAGACTTAAGACTTTCCTCTTTGATAAAGCTTATAGTTAGGGCTGGCTCAGGCTTGCCCTGTACCAGCCCCTAGTTAGGCTGACTTAGGCCTAGTCTGCCGGAGGACCCCCTATAATACACCGGGCTCCCTCTCTCTCCCTCTCTCTCTCTCTCTCTCTCTCTCTCTCTCTCTCTCTCACTCTCATCCTATTACTGCATCTTGCTAACTCGGCCATTCTGGATGTCACTAACTCGGCTTCTTCTCCGGAGCCTTTGTGCTCCACTGTCTCTCAGATTAACTCATATCGCAGCGGTGCCTGGACAGCGTGACGTGTGTGGTTGTGCTGCTGCCGTGGTCCTGCCAGATGCCTCCTGCTGCTGCTGCCATCATTAGTCATTAGTCATACTTCTACTGTTATTATACACATATGACTATTGTCACACATGTATACTGCCAGATATTAATACATACTTTCAACATATTGTACCACAGTAGCCAGAACTATAACTATAATATTATTACTTTCAATAATGTTGTTGTAAGCTACTGTCATTACCTGCATCTCTCTCTCTCTCTCTCTCTCTCTCTCTCTCTCTCTCTCTCTCTCTGTCTCATTGTGTCATATGGATTACTGTTAATTTATTATGCTGATCTGTTCTGTACGACATCTATTGCACGTCTGTCCGTCCTGGAAGAGGGATCCCTCCTCAGTTGCTCTTCCTGAGGTTTCTACCGTTTTTTTTCCCCGTTAAAGGGGTTTTTTTTGGGGAGTTTTTCCTTATCCGCTGTGAGGGTCTTAAGGACAGAGGGATGTCGTATGCTGTAAAGCCCTGTGAGGCAAATTGTGATTTGTGATATTGGGCTTTATAAATAAAATTGAATTGAATTGAATTGAACTTGGATTAATTTTTATGAAAAACCCTTTGATTATTTTGATGGAATATAAATAACTTACAGGGTAATCGAGGAACGGACACATATTCTGACTATCTGACTGCTTCAGAGGTAATATAGGAAGTCACCACTTTTTTTTCCTCTCTTGTTTACCAGTCAGCTAAATCTGAATGAATTACTGTCTTCTTTGGTGCTATGGTTCCAGTAAAATGAATTGAAGAATTGAATTGTGGAGAATCTAAACGAGCTAACAGCATCTCCATATTGACAAAAGATTAAACATAAATATTTGTTTCCATAATCTAAACAACAAACTAATGTTTGCTGGAGTGGGTAGCCAACAACCTGGTTTTATACATCCAAAGAACTTTCATAAAAAATGAACTGCTTGGCATCCAGACCATGCGTCTAATTTAGACAGGCATGTATTTGTTTGTTTGTTATTTCTTTTTTTTTCTTTTTTCTTTTTTTTTTTTAAATTTTTATGGTACTTTGTTTTAACACTGTTTACTGCCAGAGCAATTGCAGTAATATCAACAACACGATACATCATTCCTTTATATCTGTGACCTTTTATATGCAACACCTGTGTAGTAATGCTGGTGTTTTATCAGCATCTCGATATGCCACACCTCAGGTGGATGGAGTACCGAGGAAGAGGAGAAGTGCTCACTGACAAAAAAATTGAGAGAAATATCCGCTGAAAGCATAAAGAAGTCTTAGATCTTTCACTAAAACCTGTTAAAAAATGGGAGCAAAAACAAAAGTGTTGCTTTTGAATTTTCTGTTCAGCATACCAAGACTGACAAACTCAGCACTTCTGCAAGCTAAGCAAGCAGTCATGCCTTTTAAACATAAAAGCTGCGGTAAGAAAAAAAAAGAGAGAAAATGACAGGAGGAGGGGTAGCAAAGCTCCACTAATTTTTTTATTAAGAGATGCCAGCCCACGGATGACCCCCCCTTCTAGTGTGCACTGGGGCCCGTTGTAAGTACCTAATGCCAATGTTTTGTTCATTCATAAGATCGACATGTTAAATGGCCACCAGATCAGCGTAAAGGGGTGGATGTCTGAGAGGGGCTTTTGTTTTGATTCCATCCCACATACACCATCCTGCAGCCAGAAAAACTCATGATACAAATGTGAATGAATTCATATCTGAAAAAAGTCCTCAACAAATGCACTTTCTTCCTGTCTGAGTAACTTAAAATTAAAACTGCATAATTGTGAGCTGTTTTAAAACCAACAGGGTTGGTGCTAAGGTTTGTTGGTTTTTGTCTTTTCAAGAGATTTGTTGTCAGTAAGAAAACTAGAATTACCACCTTGCAGTTGTATGCCTCCACAAACCAGTCAAGTTGGACTCACAGTTTCCAAGTCTGTGAAACCATGGATGCTTCACACAAATCCTCCCCCCAACAGCACAAAAGATCTATACAATTAGCACAAGATGTCTCCCCTTCTGTTACTGAGTTATGGCTTTAAATAACTGCCAGAAAAGTGTTTTTGTAGATTATTATGATGTCAAAGTGAAGTTGACCTTTTGAATATAAAATGTCATAACTTCATCATTATATGCCTTTAGACATTTGTGTGAAATTCTGTCATAATACCATATAAATTATAATACCATATAAATTCTTTAGTTACGGCCAGATATATGTTTTTCGAGGTCACAGTGACTTTCACCATTGACCTTCGACCACCAAACTCTCAACAATTCATTCTTGAGTTCAAGTGGATGTTTGTGCTAAATGTGATGAAACTCCCTCAGGGCCTTCTTGAGATATTGTGTTCACGAGAATGAGATGGATGCAAGGTTACAGTGACCTTGACTTTTGACCACCAAATTCTAATCAGTTCATCCTTGACTCAAAGTGGACTTTTTGTGCCATTCAAAAAAAACAAAAAAAAAAACAACCTCAAGTGTTTTCTAACATATCGCATTTACAAGAATGAGACATATGCAAGGTCACAGTGACTCTGACCTTTGACCACCAATCTAATCTAATTTGTTCACCCGTGAGTACAGGTGGACATTTATGCCAAATTTAAAATTCTTAAAAAGAAAATCCTCAAGGCATTCTTGAGATATCACATTTAGGAGAATGGGACAAATGGACAGACAGACAACCCGAAAACACAATGCCTCTGGCTACAGCTATCACCAGCCTAGAAGTATAAAAATAAACACAAAACTTATCCTTAAATCACAAGTCAATTAGTTCAATTTTTAACTTTCAAGGGAAAGGCATACTGATTATGAATAGAAGCTAAAACAAGAACAAATCTACAGTATATGTCCTCCCTGGCTGTGCAGGCTTTGTCCACAGTACCTCATTGTCTATTCTGTTGGCTGCAACCTGCAGCTCTTTCACAGTCTGCGGAGTCATGTCCCTGTCCCGCTGCACTTCCTCAGACTCGCCTTTTTTTACCTCCTCCACTCTCTGCAACTCCTGGAGATTGAAATAGAATTTTGTCATGAGCTGTTTTGACAGTCATCATTGGAAATGTGCATGAGGCTTTGCATCTTATTTGTGATGATATAAACATTCATTCCCAGAACATACAGAGTAAAAGTTATATAACCAACCCTTTATTTAACTATTATGGTAACACTGATGAAAAAATGGCACTATAGTATAGTGCTGACATCAATCACTTAAAAAATACTATTACCAGTACTTTGTTTATATATTGTGATTTAATAAAAGTTAATAAAAATTGATTTGTATTTATTTTAAGTATTTTAGTAAGTATTTTGCTTGAAATTGAATTTGTTGCTGATGAAAACAGGTTGCCAGGATAGAGTGAAGTTCACAGCTACTAAAATAAAATGATCCCATTAACCTGTGGTGCAGGTTCTGTGTGAGTCTTGGCAGCCTCAGCAGCCATCCTGCTCTGCTCCATGTGAGCAGCCCTCAGCTGCTGCAGAGCCGCTTCTAGCTCCACAGGATCTGCACAGGCCCCCTCCGCCTGGATCCGACTCTGTAGCCACACACATATACACACACACACACACACACACAGAAAAACAAACAAACAAACACACACTTGATTTTATTGATAAACTAAAATGTTTGACAGTTTTTAAAGAGCCCAGGTAAGGGTTAGCACAAGAGCAAAGTAGTTTGTGTGTGTGTATGTATGTGTATTTAAAAAAAATCAAAAATCCCATTTGCAGTAATAATATGGGAAAAGAGCTTAAAAGTTAATGTTGTATTCTATTTTTGTATTTTTGCAATGCCCAGAAACTGAGGTCCACTCTTGGTCGTGTAGGTTAACAGTCCAATGTTGGTAATGTGTGTGTGTGTGTGTGTGTGTGTGTGTGTGTGTGTGTGTGTATGTATGTGGGGGGCACCTGCTGGATAAGAAAAGGGTTGTCTTTGCTGAAAGAGGGCGAGCGGGATGGCGTTTCTCTCCTCTTCTCTCGGAGCGACGAGGCCTCCTGGTTTCTCCTAATCCTCTCCAGCTGCTCCTCCACACTCATCCTTGTTCTACCCACTTCTCGCTCCCCAAATCCCGTCTGATCCACTGCACTCCTGGGACGGTCCTATACAGGACAATACTCAGTATTACATTCTTTTGCTTTTTACTTGAAACTTTGGGTCTTTTTGCATCAATAGCCTAAATGTTGGTCTGTCGGCTTTTACCTACAGTAAGAGTTTCTCTCAAAGTAATTGCTGAATATGCCTGATATGCTCTGAATATTAAAGCTGTCCAGAGAATGATTTCTGACTGCCTGACCATGGCAAAACTGTCAGTATGGATGGACTTTGTTTTTAGTCTCATTTTATGGAGTCTTGTTTTTAGGAGTGTTTATGGTATAATTCACGAGACATAAATGATTGATTGATTGATTGATTGTTACTGAGATATTGAGAGCTTGAAATATCTAGGATTCCGGCAGGAGCAGGAGGATAATATTAACTGGAGCAGAAACTTCCACCACAACTGCATCTAAAGTTTTTTATTTCTCTTGATGCCAAGGGCAAAACTTACAGCTCTGGATTCAGGCTTCTTGGTCTTCCTCAGGGTGACATAAGAGGCAATAGTGGAGGACTCAGGAGGGCTCATAGGAGATTTGGTCCTGGGTTGAATGATACCCATTGGGTAGGGGGGTGCTGTTGGAGAGATTAGATTAGACAGTACTTTATTAATCCCTTGGGAGGGTTCCCTCAGGGAAATTGAGGTTCCAGCAGTGGCACAGCACCGTCAGTACAGTAAAAATTACACAGATTCAAATATAAAAAGTTCAACAATATGAATATAATAATAAACTAGTCCATACCCATTGGTAGCTTTGTCACCTTCTACCTATGCCAATCCTCAATGCCTATGTTCAGTTTCACATAGATTGACCACGTCAGTGAGTAGAAAAACGTGGGACAGACAGAATGACTGACTGACAGTTTCGGTGATTATGTACAGCATACCATACCATGACTTAGTCATACCAAAAATTAGAGAAAAAAAAAACACAAAAAAAAAAATCGGCCACAGGGGGAGCCACAGCGATCAGTTACATTTTAGCCATTTTTAAGCATTTTTCTGTTGTTATAGCGCCACCCAGTTGCCAATTACAGTTCAATTTCTCCAGTCACCTTGAGGCGTCCTGTTCTACATATCTACCAAGTTTAGTAAAAATCGATATGGTGGTTAAGCCTTGATAAGAAATTAGCTCTCTAGCGCCCCAATTTTGTTTGACTGGGTCAACAGTGGAGGGGTCCCCTCAGATTATGTGTGGTCATATGCCTACAAAGTTGGATGGTGATCGGTGAAACCCTTGAGATCTATGTTATACACCTTTATGTGATGAGCCACGCCCTCCGCAATATTCATTGCCTTATAGAAGCTCAGTTTCAGTAAGTTTTCCAACTTTTGCCAAGGGGGAACTTTAGATATTGGTGCCTAGATTATGTTCACTGAGTTTCATGTAGATCGCTCAAACTTCCTAGGAAGAGATCGATTTTAAGTGTTTTTCAAAAAAATTAAAATGGCGGAAAATCTATATAACTGGAAGCTATGGGTTCTTAGACAAATTTGTTCCTCATGAGGAGAGGCATCTGTGCAAAGTTTCATGTCTCTACGACATATGGGGCATGAGATATGCCCATTCAAAGTTTGCAATTTCAATTGATTACTATAGCGCCCCCCTTTGCCCAATTCATGTAATATTGCTTTATTTGCATACTCCCATGACCCTCTACCACTGTGCCAAATTTCACATGGGTTGACCAAGTCAGTGAGGAGAAAAACGTGAAACAGTCACACAGACACACTCACAGACACACCCACAGGCAGAGTTTCCATCATTATATAGTAAGCTATAATAATAGAAAGGCAATAGCAGTGATAGTGAAGAAAAACAATCGCAGGGAATGCTGTCATTTACACACTGGCAAACAACACTGCAATCAGGCTAATTGCTCATGTTGTGCCAGATCATACAACATGCTCCATTTCACCAAAGACAAAAAAACATGTTAAAATAATGTTAAACAAAAAACAGGAGACATTCAGGGATATCATTGCTGTTTATCAGGGAACTGTCATTTTGAAAAATAATCAGTTTTGTAACAAAGAATACTTTCTCACAGCTGTATGCCTCTATCAACTGAAGTTGTAATTCACACCCATGTCTGCCAAGACTCATTTGATATATGTAGTAATGACTTTGAAGGAATTTAATAAAATGTATTAAGTGTGCTATTTGGCAATACATGGATGCTTCTCACATATCTTTAACCCAGCAGCACAGAAGATCTATACAATCAGCACACTTTCAAAGTGGACACCCAAGATTAGTGTCACCAATTCAGTATTTGACAATGTGTCTTGTATTTGACAATGCAGAACATTATAATGTCACAGTAAAGTTGACCTTTGACCTTTTGGATATAAAATGTCATGTCGTCATCATTTTTAATTAGTGTATGTATGTACTGTAATTTGTGAGTTTTGGCCAATTATATGTTTTGTGAGGTCACAGTGACCTTGATCTTTGACCTTCAACCACCAAATTCTTATCAATTTAGGAACTTGAGGAAATATCTTGAGATATCACAAAATTCACAAATGAGATGGAGACTGGTGCAAGGTCACAGTGACCTTTGACCGCCAAAGTCTAATCAGTTCATCCTTGAGTTCAAGTAGATGATTGTGCCAACTTTGAAGAAATTTCCTCTAGGTCTTCTTGAGATATTGCGTTCACAAGAGAATGCAATGGAGGAGTTCATTCTTGACTCAAAGCAGAGGTTTGTGCCACATATAAAGTGTTTTTGACCCCCTTGATTTAATCGGTTCATCCTTGAGTTCCCCCAACCCAAAAATGAAAACAAATATTGCAAAAAATTTGAGAGGAATTGGCTTTTAACCAAGCTGGAAGAACCTTGTTTAGTCTGGGAAGACAGTCTTGAAATGTATAGGAGGGCCCTCCACAATGCCAGAGCAAACTACTACTCAGCATTAATAGTAGAAAATAAGATCAACCCCAGGTTTATTTTCAGCACTTTAGCCAGGCTGACAGAGGCACAGCTCTATTGAGCCTTGTATTCCTTTAGCCCTCTGCAGTAATGACTTTATGAGCCTTTTCAATGACAAAATTCTAACTATTAGAGGGAAAAATCCATGACCTCTTGCCCTAAGACAGTACCAATCTGCCTTCAAACACAGGGACCTTAAACTCAGCTGTAAGACCTGATAAATATTTGGATTGTTTTTCTCCAATTAACCTTCAACAACTGACTTCAATGATATCCTCATCTAAATCATCAGCGTGGCTCTTAGACCCCATCCCAACATTAAACTATTAAAAAAAGCCCACTCTGGATCCAGAGGTGCCAACTATAGACACATATCTAATCTTCCATTTCTTTCAGAGATCCTTGAGAAAGTAATTGCAAACCAGCTGTGTGACTTTCATCACAATAATTTATTTGAGGAATTTCAGCCCTGATTTAGAGTGATAGCACAAAGACAGCACTGGTACAAATTACAAATGATCTTCTGATTGTATTAGGCAAAGGAGTTGTCTCTGTACTTGTTTTATTAGATCTTCGTGCTCATTGACACAATTAACCATCAAATTCTGCTACAGAGCCTGGGACATTTAATGTGCCTAAAAAGTTCTACACTAAGCTGGTTTAAAACCTATTTATCTGATTGATTTCAGTTTGTTGGTGTTCATGATGAATCATCTCTATGTACTAAAGTTTGTTCTGGAGTTCCACAAGGTTCTGTGCTTGGACCAATCCTATTCACTCTATATATGCTTCCCTTAGGTAACATCATTAGAAATCACTCTGTAAATTTCCATTGTTATGCGGATGATACACAATTGTATTTATCAATAAAGCCAGAAGAAACTGATCAATTAACTAAACTTCAAAAATGCCTTAAAGACATAAAAACCTGAATGAGCTCCAATTTCCTTATGGTAAACCCAGACAAAACTGAAGTTATTGTTCTTGGCCCCAAACACCTCAAAAGATTTGTCTTTTAACTCCCGTATAAAACAATCTTAAAGGTCTATATTCTTTCATCTGCATAATATTGCAAAAATGAGGCCTATCCTGGGCTCTAGTTTCCCGGCACAGCGCAGGGTGGCACAGGGTGGCGAACCCCGCACAGAGCTAGTTTTGAGCAGCGCATCCCGAGGCGCGCTCAGTTTGGTAGTTTGGCAGACCGAGGTGCGCTGAGATGGGTGTGGCGGCGCAGTAGGGGGAGGTGTCGACAGATCCAGCTTGGCGCAGTGACAGTTTCGTGCCAAAAGGCTTTGCCGAAGGTGCGCTAAAAGCTCGCCAGCTGAAACCTGGTCTACTGTCAGCGCAGGCGGTGTAAGTGGAAGTTTGGCTGACCAGCGCACAGTGCGCACACGTCACCAAAACCTCACAGGCAGGTTTCCAGAATATCAGGCACATTAACAATGCAATAAATACCCAAAAAAACAATATTCAATGCAACTATCTGCAATCAGCACATAAATGTATCTCTATATCGACTGTCCCGTCATATCTGATGTCAGATCAAAGGGGATTGGCACCGTTTGGCACGTTCAGCACGCGTAATGGAAACCCAACCTGATTTAATTAACACAGCTGCAAACTAATGAGTTCACATCCCTCTCAGCCAACCACAAACAGCCACAGTATCAGATAGGGAGTATATATTTAGCATCTGTCATCTTAGAAAAGTCAAAAGAAAAGAAACAGAGTGAGACTGTGAGAGAGAAAGAGAGAGCACGCGCGCGCACGAGAGAAACGCAAAATTGATTTACAATTGTGGTGACTTCCTCCCAGGCTACCTTTGCATCATCAGCCTGTGGAGGTCTGCTCGCAGTTCCGTATATTCGGACACTGTGAGCAGACCTCCCGGACCAAAACATCAGTTTCCTCCTGGGAGAAGTTTGGCCGTCTGGTGCTGCTGCTCTCTTCTGCCATGGCGAATTGAGTAAACTCTCATTACGCCTTCGCGCGGCGCATTTAAGGGCGAGGAGAGGGGCTCATATGATTGGTGTGATGTGTGTAAAACCCACTCCACGCCTTCTCTCCTCCCTCTTTCCGACTTGCGCAGGTACGAGGGATGGAGGTGGGAAAGAGGAGTAGCTGCGCCAGGCGCACGGTGTGCCAAACTTGCAAAATCCGCCTGGTCACACCCAGTTGGCGAAGTGCAAGTGCGCTGTGCCCCCGCCTCACCCGGTCTGCGAAACTAGAGCCCCCTGTCTCAAAAAGATGGAGAAAAATTGGCCCACGCATTTCTTACCTCTAGGCTGGATTACTGCAATTCCCTATTAACAGGTTGCTCGAATAAGTCTTTAAAAACTCACCAGCTGGAGTGTCGGTGGCTTAATGGATAGAGCAGGCGCCCCATGTACAAGGCTGTTGCTGCAGCGGCCCGGGTTCAAGTCCAGCCTGTGGCCCTTTGCTGCATGTCATCCCCCCCTTTCTCTCCCCTCCTCACACTTGGCTGTCCTATCCATTAAAGGCAAAATGCCCAAAAACATATCTTTGAAAAAAAAAACAAAAACAAACTCACCAGCTGATCCAGAATGCGGCGGCACATGCTGACAGGAACTAAGAAAAGAGATCATATTTCTCCTGTTTAAGCTTCTCTTGACTGGCTC